ATCAGGTATATCACATTGCTAGTCTTGCATGACGTGTGTTGTCGCAGTGTTATCGTTTCTCCTGTAGTGCTGCTTTTAACTGACCCTGTAAATTGCCCGTATGTTTTGCAGCAGTTGCATCTTATGTCAGCCCTACAGGGCCAGAATCCGGGACTAGTGGATTGCAATGGTTTCTGCTTTTTATGTTTATGAGAGAAATGAATTTTGAGATTTTTGTTAGTTTTGAATGATCGACCACAGATTGTACAGGTAGTGTCAGATGGAACTTGAATGTGTGGATTGCTTATATCGTGTGGGGATTCATCAGTGGAGGGGGTTGTGTCAGCGGCTATCGGCGATCGCAGTCTTTTGTGGGTAAGCATCTGTGTTAAATTACGCCCTTTTCGATAGGCAACGAGAGGTGTTTCTTTGAATATGGCCTGTGTGTTGGACGATGTCAAGAGTATTTGATGGTGCTCCTTGAGGATTTTGTGGATGTTTGGCAGTGCTGGGTTGTAATATATATTTTAATTTGTTGTTTTCTCTCTTCCTTACATACATATATATATAAATATTTTGTGGGAGGAAAAAGACAAGTAAACTACAAGTTCATCCCTACAAGCCTGTTTCGTGGTCGCCCACTCATCAGGGGATTTATATGTAAGGAAGAGAGAAAACAACAAATTAAAATTTATTTGGTCTCAGTAATAAAGATGAAATGAAATTGGGTTATCAGGATTCAGTTTAACCCGTTTATGACACGAATATTATACCATGTGTATTTCTGACCAGATGGGGAAAAAACTTTTGCAATTCGTTGAATAAAGCCATTTTCTCTGTCGTTGGTATAGAGAGAAAGTAATAGAATTCCTGATAGTGCGCATTTCAATTGAGCGTCACGAATCCGAAGCCAAAGTTCTCACATCGGCCAATCAAAGAAGAGGAAATTATCATAAAGAACCAAACAGAATTACAAGTGAAAACAGGCAAACTGCAATAAGCGGGAACACGCGAGGGCACAAATCCCGATTGGGTTTAGCTTTGAGTCTCATTGGTTGCGAAAGGAGGGAGAGTTTTCTGGACCAATCACAGAGCGTGGTGAGGTAATCTCGGATTAATTTCGGCACTTACACGAAAACTGCGTCACATGGGATTTCTGTTTTAGCTGCTCTATCATCCATTGTAACAGCCGTCAATTCGGTGTCAATTCCACGTTTTATTTGACTGGATCAACTATGTCTAACACACTGTTCGAATACAATACCGTGTGAAAAATCCTTACAAACGAGCTCGTGTCCTTGTCTGTAACCCTGAAAACTGCTACAATATCCTAATGATTCCGCAATGTTCTATTCCTTTGATGTGAGTCAATTTAAAACAATCGATAACCGAAGAATAAAGGCGAAAAATCAAGCGATAAAAACACATGTGCGCGGAGGCTTCACCAGGTGTCGAATGGCAAAACCTCAGCGGAGACTAGGCCTAGTGCACAGGAAACCTAACATTTACATCCATGTTATCACCGTAAAGGTGCTTGGTTGGAAAGAATATTCTTATCATCAGTGAAAAGTTTCTGCCAAAAGAAACTCGTCAATTTGAATCTGAAAGTGGTTGTACCAAACTCACGCAGAAGATCGTTTATCATTTCAAAATGCACCGAACGTTTTGCATCTATGGTCCTATGCACCTTATGAACTTCTACAGTAAGTTCTAAAATGGTGGCGAGCAGGTTGAGTAGAGAAATACCGAATAGCACCAGAACGGTAAGCTTTGACAACACAAAGATATAACTGGGATACTGACGCTTCAGAAAATTCAACTGAGTATAGTTTAGGAAACCAGCAAATGTAGTTCTCAGAAAATAGTTAAACGCCAAAGCCATTAATATTATCCAGGAATCGATGGATTTGGAAAAAATAGCAAGCTTGGCGTATCTGGTCAAGGATATAAGTAAAAGTATCATCAGAGTCCAGTAGGAGGGAAGAAATTTTAGCTGATTTAAGATGGTTTTGTATCCAAGAAACTCTGGAACTTTCTGCAGGGCAAAGATGACGATGATTAAGAAGATAGAGTGTGTAGCAAGCCATGTTATCGCTAGTTCTTCGGAAAATGGAAAAGCCGCGTTTTTCTCACAAAAATAGAAAGTGGAATTCTCTGTGATACAAGTCACACTGCGAATCGTGAACAAACATGTTCCACCAACATCCCATAGTAACAGCAAGCCAAAGCCTACAGCCCAGGGTTTGATGGATCTTTTCCTTCGCCTGTCTTCGTCTGAATTAAGTAGGCAAAAACTTGAGTAGTGCCTAAGTGGTGCACGCTCGTCTATATCCATTCGAGTTGTCATCGAAAATCTTCAAGAAAAATCTATTCAATCACTTCGTTCTTGTAACAAAATACACTGATCTCCTTGTAGACTGCTGTTCCCTAAAAATAATCATAGTATAACTTTTTATGAGATGTACATCGTAAATATAAGTTACGCTTCACAGTGAAGGGAAATGCTGTTTTGGTTGCGGTGAATTATTTTAAGCTCACAATTATTAAGAGGCACTGAGCGACAACGATTCAATAATGTGTAACTTTGGAATTTTTTTCCAAGTAGTGTGCAGAATTCAGAGGACCCCCTTAGTTAACGTTGTTAGTCACGTGATGTGATTTTATTAGTCGGAGTTGTGTGTATGTTCTCCGTTGTGTTACGGACAAAACTCTAAAATTCTAGTTAAAACTCAGTCATTCACTTTAGCCAATGTTGTAAATCGAGAAAGGGAATAAATTCATTACAGGTAGTTATCCCTGAAGACAACAATTCCATCGTATCGAATTACAAGATATAAACTACGAGCAGTGAAGTTTGAGAAGGCAAAGGTTCTGAAATTATTCTGTGTTAGATTTCATAAAAGGATACGCTCATGCGATTTTTTTACCTGGTCCAGTAAATAAGAAAGTCATAGCTACGTAGTCTTAATGTTCATGGCAAAATTATTATTCTAAAGGGCGAAGACAAACGAGAAGCGAAACAACACGAAAAGCACAACATGAGTTGGAGGCGGAAGTTAGAAGTGGTTTTCAGTTTTTGAAATTACCATTTCAGGGTAGACATTACAGAACTGTTCACTCAAATAATACAATTGCTTTCTAAAAATTAAGTCGTTATCTTAGAAATTCTAAGAGCCAAGGGCATTTCGTCTTTATCAGGACCATTCAGCGGTCACTGTCCTTACACGCCTGTTTGAGAGAATTCAAAAGGCTAGATTAAAATAGAAAATTAGAGTTTTTTTCTCACCTTGATATTACTCCAATGTTGTGCGTTTTGCGAAAATTTTCAGGTCTCTGCAGTGTTGGTGAACCGTCTGCAAGGGTTCGCTGAGAATGATACTTTCAACCAAAAGTACCTCGTTAATGACGACTGAAAAATCAGAATGACCTGTAGTCGTCCGGTGTAGCTTTGCGGCTGACACTGGTCATTGCTAAGATTTGTCACAAAATGCACCCATGTTGAATGAATCTAATTTTAGTTGCTGACGCATATCTTTAGAAATTTGAGCGACTAATATAGCGTTCACGCTAAGCATCTTACAGTAGACTTCTAGTTCAGTAAGCCGAGCTTAAATAAAATCAATTTTGATTTCAATACGTTTATTCGCCTTTAAGCAGATTGACGATAGTGAAACAGGATGTAATACCTAAACAATAGACTGCTTCTGTCGATGAACTATCGACTGATAGTTGACCCCCGGAAATTTGATGTTCTTAAAACAAATATTTTCCCAAGAAGCGAAACTTTGAGGGCAAATATGCTAGTTTTAAAAACATCAAATTTCCAAAGGGCAACTATCGGACCGATAGTTGTCTTTATTGTTCACCACTAAACTTCCGCGCGTCAGCTGAGAAACAGTCAAAACCCACTAAATGTAGATCAATCAAATATTTATTCATGCTACAGCCTATCACAAATGTCAATACTTCGCAACCGTACATTGGCTCTTAAATACGTTATACCTGTCAAAATTGAAAAGTCACTGTTTTTCCGATCTGCCTAACTTCGCGGCCGTCAAACTATTCAAAACTTTTCACGGATGAGTACTATCAATCCAGGTATATTCCGCGGACGGGCACTAACCATCGGGTATTTTCCGCGGGCGGGCACTATGGGCTGATTGTGTCTCTCCACGGATGAACACTATCGCGTCACGTGATCGATTTAAACCAATAAGAACGGGGGAAAATTTAGTGGTGAACTATAAAGGCTGATATTGTCTCTCCAAGGATGAACACTATCGTGTCACGTGATCAATTTAACCCAATAAGAATCGGAGAAAATTTAGTGGTGAACTATAATTAAGGATAAGCTAACAGCTACCTTGTGGTTGCCTTAACTTTTAAAGTCTTTTCGAGTGACAGAACTATCATTACCACTGGGCATTAGATATAGATACTCTACTAGATTTAACTGTTCTGTATAGAATCTGCTGACGGTGGTACCTGCGTTGAAAGCGAATATCTGAAAAAGAAGAGGCGAACAATAATTAATTTAACGCGAGCCACAACAAATTTTTCAACAGACATACATCATCATCTAAAGATTCCTTTTTGTCACTCCTTTCCTAGCTCCTAAATAAGACTATGTTTAGCCTCCGTGCTAGGGGGAAACTACCAGACTACTGAGGATGATACCCAGCCAAGCTTATGTACAAGAATTTAAGTTTTAAACCAGCTTTCTCCAATGAAGAAGACTGTCATTAAAGCTCAGTTGTAATGAACAAGAGCTGCTTAAAATTAGCCTAGAACAATTGTGCTCATTTTCCACTCACTTGAACTTAGAAATGTGAATTCAAACTCCTTGCATCCCCTGAGATAGATTGTAAACACAGTTCCGTCTGGCTACCACGATTGCAAGTCGTCTTAACGTTCTTGCGTTCACCAATTTCTTCACCTTCCTTGAACGTGGTTTTTTGTTGTTGTTGTTGTTGTTGTTGTTCACCTTCCTCGAGTGTAACATCAACGACACCACTGTCCTTTACAGCACCAACGAGAGTAGGCAAGTCCTCTTGTCCTGTTTGTAGCTGATTATCAATGACATCCGTCTCAACCATACCAGTCACTTCCCCCTGCAGACCACTTAGGGGAAGGAGCAAGGCCAGGAAACAGGAGAGGGACCACTGTGGATTTTGTTACCATTCCTTGAAGTATCCGTACAAGTGCAGGACGTACTGAACTGAAAATTATAATGTACGAGAGTGATTTAGAATCTAGAAAACTACTGATTTGCTTCTTAATAGAATATTTTCAATCTTGCAACGATAGAAGAATGCCTCCCACTAAATAAATTGTACTAGAATAAACATATTATTCTTGACACTTCAAGTCATAGTTACTCAGAATAGCAACAATCGTATAACAATCTCATCTTACGAGCAACTTGTCCAATCACTAAGGTGTTGGCCCCCAGCACCAAAACCTTGAACAAAACTTCGTCCACGTACGCATCAGTGGAGCCTGGCAAGTTCTCTGCTGGGATCTTGCTCACTGCCCCAATTCCTAAGTTGACAACGGTAACTGCAAGAGAGGTCGCCATCATTCTGTTCTCGGTCTTGTCTTGTATGGGTCTGTTCCACGAGAATAGCATTCCATACATCCCAGCCATGACCCATGCTAGGCCAACGTAGGACCTGCTCTCTTTCCCCACAAGTATCAGGCCAGAAGTCAGGATGACCTTACGAGACATCTCAATAAGTTCCAAAACCACGTGCGAGGGTTGTAGTTTTCAAAAAGGAAGCGCAGTCCTGTGATAACTTCCATGCCAGATTCCTCTTCCTCGCCATTCTCTGTTTGTATAATTGTCCGTCGATACCTCCAAAGGACGAGAAACGAAGCAAGAGGAAGGACAAAGATGTAAGCAGTGGAGATGTACGCCACAATTAGCATTTTGTTATATTTTGGAACGTGACACTGAATGCTGTAATCACCTTTCAGGAAACTGTCGCATCCCGTTTCTTTTTCGTCTCGGCAAATTTCACGGCAAGTCAGTGGCATGACATTAGCTGTTTTGGTGCACGTGCTTAGGTATGTGACGTAAAGGACGAAAAACAAATTCCTGTAGATAGCCTTCTTTGCCTCGGACAGTTTAGATGTCTTTTCGTGGTCTTCCAAAAGTGAATTCTTCAAGATGACCACTCTCCGAACAACGTAGATGGCACCAGACATGCAAATGAGAGCTGCATTTATTGCCATCGTTGCATATAAGTCTCCAAACGCATCGACAGACAAGCCAGGGTACAGGCAATCAATAGGTGCAACCTGAAGGACATTCATTTGGAGTATTTCAGAATACTTGCCAATAACTTGCAGAGAACCCGGCCATTTTATGTACGAGAATGCTTCCAGTAGGCCGTACGTGACCTGATAGAATCCAATGACAATTTTAAGTTTCGATAAAAAAATGTCCATAGGGGAACTTTCTTCATTGCTTTGCTTCTTTCTCATGCTCGTCCACACCACGACTGCGGCGATTATCAATAAAATTGCGCCAATGATCGCCAACTGTGCGATCATTAGCTTCTTCGTAGGGCACCTCTTGCAGGTTTGTAGCTGTTTATAGTATCCTGAGCTGCAGACAGCGCAGAGTGGTCCCTTATAACCTTTCTCGCACTGAGAGTTCAACCCACCTTTGCATGACCCTTCAACTGGACACTTGAAAGGTGTTGGTAGCGGATATGGAAGTTGGACACTGGAATTATCTAATGCCGGGAGAGACAGCTGGAGATTTGTTATGAAATCTTTATAGCGATCTATGTGTGACTCGTTCTGCCAATCCCACCAATAACCAGGTTTTAGAGAGGCGTAGTCATCTTGACATTCCAGTCCGTGTCCACATTTGAAGCACTTTTCGAACATGTGAGTTCTGTAAAATCCTTCCAAACATTTGCAGGCACGATAACCAGCGAAAAAGTCAGTTTCAGTTCCTAGTAAACGAAAAAGATCCCATGAGTTTTTCATCATCTGTTTGACAATCGGACGTCATTATTTCTAATATAATTTCATAATTCCGTAAGACAAACCTTTCTTTTCGTTAGAAATACCATTTTTACATGACGATGAAGATATTCTATTACGCACGCGCAATTTACAACGCAGTCATTTGCAGCATTATTGATAACTGCACGCTTTGTTCACACTGCCGCATAGTGTCGGCAGTCTGCAATACACACAACTGCGCTGCACAACTTATCAAATCAGTCAAAACTTATTAAAGATGTTTATTCAAGTGGTTCCCGAAAATGGACGGAAACTTATCATAGAATTGCGAGTTTGACTCCAGCGGTTCTTACAGAAACCAAACAGGAAGAAAAGAAAAATTTTTATTGTAGGACACAAGAGCTTTTACCTTCAGGGCAAGATTTGCAATCTTGTTTTTGCTTCCCCGGAGCTTTATCAAAGGGAACATAGGAACCCGTTGGACATTTCTTGCAATTTATCCCAACGTGGGCGAGAGCATCTGAATAAAAACCACCTACGGGAGAAGTGAAAAAGATTATCTTTTTTAATGATCGACAACAAGAAAAACTCCATTTCAGGTCAATTGAGGTTAAAAAGACTTAGCAGTGCTTTGGGTTCGAGTTCGTATGCATAGTAGATTGCTATTTGCAATCTTTGTTCTCAGTCAAAAATATAGTTGTTTCCACTGGGAAGTGACAAGGCGTACAGGAGCAATAACGCACCAGTATCTGTTAACTCAATGTTTTCACAATCTTCATAATATGGTTGCACGGGGGTGATAATTTTACTGTATATTATAAATCGCAGTTTCGTCGTGCAATCCTTCATGGCACGTCATAATACTTTTAAATGCCAGCCTTTGGTCGTGTCAGAAACTAGATTGAGAAAACTGGCTGGTTCAACTATCAAAAAAATGGAATAGATGTGGAATTATGAGCAACACTCGCCGTTCACTCGTTTCAGCTAAGTACCGTCCAGGACAATACTTAACCATCTTAGGGCTAATACGCTAAGGAACAAGTGGTACACGGTATTTACCCGGGGTACACTGAGTGCAGCCCTGTTCTCCTTTAGTTGAAGAGTTTGAAAATGTCCCCAGTGGACAAGGAAAATGAGTATTCTGGTTCTTGGTTATAACGTGAACGCGCCCAAATCCTGACGCTTTCAAAGCAGCACCAAAAGCCCTTCCAATGGGAGTGTCGATGTTCCCGACCTAGATACCTTCTCCTTTAGAATCAATTGGATTCCTAGAATTTCAGTCAAATTTTTAGTTTGTTTATTCCACACTTTTTAAAATGAATTATAACATAACCAAAGTAAAGCGCGCGCTCTGATTGGTCAATTTAGCGTCCCTCATTTGCCCATGGGTGTACGCTGCTGACGTGAGCAAATGCAAAGACTATTTTTCCGCGCGCGCTTGTTTTTTCTGGTCACGTAAGATTTGTTAAATAAAAGGGAACTCTTTAGCTACAATCTATCAATGTTATGTTATAAAACAAATGGTAAACACCACAGCGTACACTATTGAGTTATGGATGCACTTGGGAGGTTTGCTAAGCACTCAAGAAGCTAGAGTCGCTCTCGGCTATCGCCTCACGCGGCTTACGCTTGTCTCGTGTTTAGCAACCTCCCGCGTGCATCCATAACTCAATAGTGTACGCTGTGGTGTTTACCATTTGTTAAATATGCGAGTGGTAGTCAAAGCTGCAGAAGAAGTTGGCGGCCTTTTGTTCTAACGTTAAAGACAGGGAACAAAAATATTGCGCAAATGGGTATCTGACGTCCAAAAACAGAATAAAATCTTGTTTTTTCAGTTCCTACAAACTAATATGAAAATTAGTTTTTTCATATATATTCAGTATCATGCGATTAGACTCTAAAAAAATAATTTGTATATACCTATGTGTGTTTGTGAGTGTAAAAGATATACAGGATAGTTATACAAGCGTCTCGTTTGTGTATCGACTGCGTATCTGTTAAATTTCAGTACCAGCATTTGAACTTACAGGTAAACTGAACAGAGGGTTTTTCCATTATGGCGAGATAAATAGTGCACGGTTGCAAGCGTTCTACTGTTTATCACTCTAAACACCGAGAATGAAAGAAATAGTTTTTGACAGGTCAACATTTCGTATTCACTCTCTTTTATAGAGCTCTATACTCAGCATTTTTTTTTATCTGCCCATTAGATGCTCGGTAACTTGTGCTCATTCTAGAGATACAACTTATACGATGAGAATAATTTGGTTTTAGGAACAGAGTTGATAATGTAAATTGGCCACCACCGTAAAGAGTCTCTTAGCCGACGTTTCGAGCGTCAGAGCGAATGACGGAGGGCTAACGCTCGAAACGTTAGCTTAGAAACTCTTTACGGTGGCCAATTCACATTATCAACTGAGTTGATAAAACCAAGTTATCTTGTTATACTCTCCCACCGACACAGCACCACAGTTTTGTTTAGAACCTTAACCCTTGTGTACTATGAAAATGTTACGATCCATATCAGGAATAATAATTTGGTGAAGCAAACAATACTATAATAATTATACTAATTACCATATCATCTTCTGATTTGGTAAAAAACGAAACATGGTAAATATATCAAAATGAAACTAAAAAGTATAAAAGGTAACGTTCTCTTTAGTATTTTAGACGGCCTTGCTCGAAAAATGGGAAAAAAAGTTCGAAAGGTGGATACATCACATTTTAGCAAACGATTGACTCAAGCCAGAGAGATACTCCAGACTCAATATCTTCAACTTCGTCCGCAGAAGGTATCTGTGTAGAATGAATGGAATATAAATTTCATCTGAGGTAAAATTTCAAGACGTTTCAATTGCATGCCACAACAACATTGGAAAATAACATTTGAAGCACTTTGCATCGTCGACGTAATATATTCCCTTCAGTATGTTCAAGAAACCGCGATATTTATTATAATGATTATTATAACATGGTTTTAATAATGTAACCACTTATTTGAAATATTTGACGCATGCGAAATAATGCATCAAAACAACCAAAACGACCTTGGACTTGGTACAAGAAAGACAATGGTAACTATGGGTACTCACATTCTTAGGGTGAAATGATCCCAAAATCCAGTTTTGAATGCTTCTTGTTCGATAGTCTTTATAGGGTTGTCTGACAACATTCTACGATGATAAAGATACTCTGAACTGAGAACTCATCTTGCAATGCATCAGGAGTAAATCACTTTATAAAAGAGCGCTCCGCACTGCTGGAGAAAGGATTACAAGATATTCTTACTCCCACATGTCAACATGTCCAGTCAACATGTCCAGTCAACTGTTCTCGCCTCTTAGAATTTTAAATAATTGGGTTATCCGATTTACTTCTAAATTATTGATTAAACTACCGTACTTACATTATCTCTGGATTTATAAAATTGTAGAAAGCGCGGTATGGTATAGTCGTCAAGTTGTTTCCGCTCAAGAATCTGTAACGAAGAGAAGACGATGTGAACCGTATTGCTGCGAGGGAAAGAATACATTTAAAAGAATTGTGCTACGCATTAAAGGTAAAGTAAACAGCATGTACAGTACGTGTCTGGGTTTTAAAACAATCAGTCCTGATGAGACTGTTTTTTCTAAGCTCAAACTTGTCAAATATGATGATATCTGTCAAGAGGAGGTAAAATGACATGTATGCAACAAGACTATGTTGTGATACATACAAGTATTGAAGGTGGGTAGATTTAGCAAAAGTCTCGTTAGAAATATAGCTTAACGAGTTGTCCTGCAAGGAACTGAGAAGTAAATGCACACAAAATTAGGTCCATTTCCATTGAAAACTGAATTCCAACTTGGCATGCTAGAAGATTACGGGCTTAAGTTATAGATTAAAAACTGTCTCGAAGCGTTGTGGAAACCTCTTAGCAAGTCACATATGCCACAAGATCTGTGTCTACGACCACCACCGGTGATGTTTCTACTTCGTCATCAAGGCAGACCAGAAATGAAAATTGTATGCAACTTTCATCATTTGACATGTTTGATGAAAGCATGTTCTTTACAGCTATGGCGTTCTTTGTATTCAGAAAAACAGTCAGAGAGTTAATAAAGGGTAAAGTATACATTCGAGCCAGGTGGACCACTTAGCCGGAGCTGATCCCAGTTTCCTGAGCATGAACAAAGCGACTAGGGGTATCATCACTCTTCCATATATGGTAGGCAAGTACGTTGCAAGGTTACCCCCCAGATTTTATCGAGCTTCCCTGACAATGTTCAGGTACCCATTTACACTCCTGGGCGGAGGGGCTAGACACTGTGAAAGTAAAGTGGTTTGCCCAAGAATAGGACACAATGACCTAGCCAGGTCTCGTACCCAGGACCCTCGCCCCGGAGTCCAGCACACTATTCATTAGGCCATCGCGTCTTCCTCTTAAGACTAAAATCGTGTGAGTAATTTTGTATTTTGTCGATAACCAATAGGATCGATGATAGGAAGACATGTAGCGTGTAAATCGCTTTAATTGCACAGTAATCCATTACGATTTGTTACTTACAAATATTCGAAGGCCCAGCCCGTGCAACACAACAGGCCTTCTGGTAAGTACTGTATCTTGTTGTAAGACAGATCTCTAGAAAACAAAAATGTCAAATTACCAAAAATACGCTCACCTGTTTGCAGTAAAAAGTTTTGCAATTTTCCTACTTCGGCATTACAGTAGCGCTGCGTGGAATATCAGATGGCAATGATGGAAAGAGAAAATGATACACATGATGACCAATCACCACCCATGTCTAATCGGCATGCAAGCTTGATGTATTGGTGGAGAAACGCTGTAAATGGCAACCACATGTCTGAGGACGCATCACACACTACAATCTGCACATTTCCACAAGGGACCTAAAGAAATTGGCAAAATGATGGACAATGGGGAATGGGGGTGGGGGGTATAGGCTATTATGAGACTCCTTCTCTGCCAATGAAAACTGATAATTAATTTTACAAGACGAATAAAACAAACTGGTGTATCCCCCTCTAAATTCCAGCAAGATGCCTGACGGTCGCGCCCCTTTTTAATGGAAACCCTGTCCACATCCCCTCTCCCCCAACCTGTGTCCCTGTCTAAGGTTAATGCAAAGATCTCTTTACTAAACTCACAAAAGCTTTAACGCTGGAAGTCTGGCAAACACATCCCAGCTTAATTTGGTGATATTATTTGACGTGAGGTACCTGCAAATATGCAAATGAACGGTCAGGCATTGGATGGTATGGCCTCACTGCAAGGAGACCACTACTAAAGAATTCAGTCTGCTGAAGTACTTACAAAGTCTCTAAACTAGACGTGCAACAAAACAAATCGCTTGGTATTTCCGAAATTTTGTTGGAAGAGAGGTCTCTGTAAAGGAAAGAATAACTTGTGTTGCTTTAGGACAGAATAAAGAACAAAGCCACGCTCGGATTTGTATGTATGTCCAGAGGGTGGTAAGTTTCTGAAGAAACTGTAGTGCTGCGTCGCTGGAAGGTATTATCTGCTTAGTTGGAAATGTGAATTGGCCACCGTAGAGAGTTTCTAAAGTTGACGTTCCGCTCTGACGAAGGGCTGACGTCAGCTTTAGAAAATCGATTTACATTATTGACTCAGTTGATCAAACCAAATTATCTGGTCTTACGTCTTGCTGGGCTTTCCGTCAAGAACGCACGGGAACTAACATGAATTCAGAAGTTATTTCAGTAGTAAATAAACCCCGTCGGGCGGCTGATATGTTGGCTGATAATGTCAGCGGCTGAGAGATTGTCCAAAAAATTAATATTTGGCCGAGAAGCGAGGCTTCGAGGGCAAATATGAAATTTTGAGGACAATCTCTCAGCCAAGGACATTATCAGCCGACATACCAGCAAGCCAGAACGGGGTTTATTTATTGTATAACCATCCCATTAATTTTCACATCGCAATTAAACTGCGCGTAAACACAGTAAAAAAAGCCAGTGGTGATCTGATGGCGAATGCGCGTGATTGACGCAAGCAAGCAAAAAAAAAAAACAGTTTTGTTTCCTTCCATGTAAATAGGAGAACGGAAAAGTTGAAACTCTTGTGTTGACTATGTTTCTTTTTCACGGAAAAAAATGGAGGACAAATATCGAAGCGGACGGGGGTTATCGCGTGATAACTGTCCTGTAATTTGCACCACGTGACGTAAATTAACCAATAAAATCGCGCCAAAATTAATGGGTGGGTTATAATGTTGGATACTCTACCAAGAATTAACAGGAATATTTCAAGATTTGCTTATGTCGGGTGCCTTTTCCTTTTCGCCGGGATGCGCTTGAAATAGCAGAGTTACCTTAGGGTGGCTCATCATACAATAAACATACAGTCGTCTTCAAATAAAGGGTTAAGATTAAAAATTGATCAACGCACAAAAAAGTTAATCGTCCTGTACGTCTGAATAACATGGCAGGTAGGTGATGAATATCATTTGAGGCCAACAACCTGAAAAAAAATCTTTCATCAACCTTTATGGAAGTAACAAAAAAAATCGTTAATCAAATCTTGTTTCCAACAATCATAAGAAACGATGAGGCATTCTGATATTTCCTGGAGTTTTTAACAGCTCATGTTTTTATTCTACATTTTCTTCCAGGAAAGTCTCTACAAGTGAAATGCTCTTGAGCTACGTATTCAAACATTAGAAAAAGAAAAGGATGAAACCAAAATACTTAGGTCTTCCTCATTTACCCTTTGCTCTTCAGACTTACAGATGTGTTAAAGAACGAAGACTGGAAAAGACATTGACGGAGAGGCTTTGAATACTGTTGTTATTCAGGCTTCTGTAAATTCAAGATAAAACGAAATAGTAATGCTGTGGGTGATCCATTGTAGACAAGCATCATTCGGGTCGGTTAATTTTCAACTCCGAATCTTGCATTTCTAGTGTTCTGATTGGCTCACTCAACCCTGGTTATCAGCTCATATTCATAGTCAACTTACGTCTATGGAAACGCGCTGCGCGAACTATTTCAGCGCTTAAAAATAGGCTCTGAATATCGAAACGTTCAGGATTAAATGAAATTTGATAAAGCAATTATTCCATACAAGATTCGTTATAGCGAACTCGGTGCGATCCCAGCGGTGTCCCGTGGGGCGAACTGGGCGAGATTTTCGGTAAAATGCGATGTAATGCGGAAATTACAGCAACGCATCAATAAATTAGAAAGAAAAAAGAAGAGTGTTCAAAGAAATTCTAAGAAGAAATTTTCACTTACAGCCAGTCAAGATATTCCAAGCCATGAAAGGCATCTTCTGGTAAAAACATGATGGCGTTTGCGTGCAGGGATCTGTGAAAAATTGAAGGAAATTCCAACACTTAATTCCATCGATGTCCAACATATTTTTGATGAAAACTAAAACTTTTGTCTCGTCTCTTTTTTTTGTGAATTTTGGCGCTTACAGTTCCTCCAAATCCAATGGCAAGATCAACGCTTCGTCAGCTTGAAAGGCAAAGCCATTTATGGATAGATCCCTGTACAGGATGAAATATCAAAATTTCTAAATCTCTGTACGATACTTATACCACCAGCGGCAGATCTTCTTGTATCAAAGTGCATTTCTATCGAGCGCTTTCCTAGCAGAACTAATAAGGAAACAGAAACCAGAACAACCAATGAAAACAAAGGAAACTTTCCCGAGCAGCTGATGTTAACATAAAGCAAATATTTCAAACTACCTCAGGCGCGGGAAAACTCGGGTTAGTTTTTCTCCAGTTATAAACCTGAGTGATTGACAAAATGGCAAGGGTTTCCATGCACCAATCAGGAAGCAAATAAGGGCAAAACCATGAAAGTCCTAAATTATTTTGATCCCTAAATGCAGACATACAACCAGTTAAAGGAGCACTCTGATGAAACCGCCCCCTATAATTTGAAAACCCGAAAAATTCAGTTATTTCATTATAATATGAATTTTTACCGATTAATAAGGCCTTTTCAATAATGATTTAGTTGAAAGTCAATTCTAGGGCGACAAATTACGATTTGAAAACCGTTCCGCCATTAAATTTTCGTAATCACTTGCCAGACTCAAGAAGACTGGCGCGAGTTTGGGGATTACTCATTTGACGTGCCGTGCTCTTGGTTAATTTTCAAAAACAGTATCTTGATCGTTTATATTGCTTTTTAGAACATTAAGACTAAGACCATTTCACAAAATTTTTACTAGGTTTCCGTATAAATATAAAAGTGTGTTGAGTAACACGTCACAGTGGGAGGAACCGTGACGTAGATTTAACAAATGGTAAATACCACAGCGTACACTATTGAGTTATGGATGCACACGGGAGGTTGCTGAGCACGAAAGAAGCGTAAGCGTCGCTCGAGGCGGTAGTTGAGAGTGACTCTAGCTTCTTGAGTGCTTAGCAAACCTCGCAAGTGCATCCATAACTCAATAGTGTACGCTGTGGTGTTTACCATTTGTTTTATAACATAACATTGTTAGATTGTAGCTAAAGAGTTCCCTTTTATTTAACAAACTTACGTGACCAGGAAAAACAATCGCGCGCGGAAAAATAGTTTTGCATTTGCTCACGTCAGCAGCGTATACCCATGGGCAAATGGGGGACGCTAAATTGACCAATCAGAGCGCGCGCTTTACTTTGGTTATGTTATAATTCACTAATTTTCACGAGGTTTCCGTATAAATATAAAAGTGTGTTGAGTAACTACGTCACAATGGGAGTGACCGCTGACCGAAGATAAGTTGGCGGTGATTACGAAAATTAATGGCGGAACGGTTTTCAAATCGTAATTTCTCGCCCTAGAATTGACTTTCAACTAAAATTATTATTGAAAAGGCTTTATTAATCGCTAAAAATTCATATTATAATGAAATAACTGAATTTTTCGGGTTTTCAAATTATAGGGCGGTTTCATTAGAGTGCTCCTTTAAGTTAAGGTAATTCATGTCCAGTTCACTCCAGGTACGACTCTCATAGGATTATGGTTTCCAATTTTCCAATTATAATTAATACTGTATTAGAGCCTTTTGTAGAATCGCTATAATTCGGTGACCGCTTGCCATTCTAGGTTATGTAAAGGTCCTCTAGAACTTGACTTTTTGGCAAGAAGAAAGTTGTGAGCATTTGCTCTCACTTACAGAAAGTCCAGTTTGTCTAGTGTGGTGAAAACATCGGCAGGTAGAGATGAAATAGCGTTGGAGATCAAGATCCTGCAAGAGATATTTTTACAAGTAAGATCATATATTGGGCACAATCCTAGTTTGCAGGTACAAGTGTAAAATCTGAAAAATCATTTTTAGTTTGTTCAAAACTCACAGATATTTCAAACTTGTAAGAGGAGAAAACATATCCGCAGATATGTTCTGAATTTTATTAAACCCCACGTTACTGAACAAAAAGGAAAAAAAAGAATAACAATGGTCCGGATTTTTAAGAATTGTTTATGAAACGACAGAAACTTTCAATATATATACTATCACGATGGAAAGAAAAAATAACAACACTTTTAACTTACAGCTCAAGCAGGTTTTTAAGTGGAGATAATAATTCTCTTGATAGATCCCGAATGGCGTTTGAAGACAAATCCCTGCGTGATCAAAACTCACTCACAGTGAATTGAAAACGATGAAATTCCAAGCGCGTGTTGTGAATAAATTGTTTAAAAACCTACTACGGTAATCTTTCCTTAGAGCACAAAATAAATATTTGTTCAAACTCACAGTACTTGTAGTTTCTCCTGCGAAGAAAACACATTTTGCGGAAGAGAAGCAATTTTATTTGCTTTCAAGTTTCTGGAGAGAGAAATTGAAGGCGATTAGTCAAATAATCAAGCCATTAAATTTTGTTTTACAACAAGTCAAACAAAGGAATTTTATTGCAAGAATCAAATAAACGAATCAACATTCCGCTCACAGAGTCCTCAGTTTCGTCAAGTTAGCAAACACTCGATCAGAGAGATTTCCAAAACCATTCATTGACAAATCTCTGTAAGTTTAAAATTCAGCACGGATAATGAATGAGAATTTCTCCTTAATTGACGTACCTTTATATAATAAGCACTTCAGTTCACTTACAGCTTTTCTAGGCGAATCATTTGGGAGAAAAGTTTTTCTGGAAAAATTTCAATGTAGTTTGAGGATAGATACCTGTAAAACGATTCAAATAAGATAACATCCAACATTGCGCCATTTTGTCACTTAACTTTAGATCAATTTCACCGCCTACACCATCATCGTTATCGTCATCGTTTTCCTCATTGCCAGTTTCACTGTCAATATCATTTTCATTGCCATTATATTTATTATTTTTAATATCATAACTATTATTCTCATTTTCTTTCTTATCATTTTTTAAATCATTGTCATTATTATTATCTTAATTATTATCATTATTATCATCATCATAATCATCATAATAATCAACGTCATCGGCATCGTCATGGTCGTCTTTGTTTTTTTCGCCATCGTCGTCATCGTCATCGTCGTACTCATTGTCGTCGTCGTCATCGTTATCGTCATCGTCATCGTCGTTGTCGTCGTTGCGTCGTCATCGTCATCATCATCTTTATCTTTATCATCGTGTTCTTTAGTAAAGCGCCGAGCAACACATGGAGCTTGACAGATACCTTCCAATAAATTAAATTCTGAGGGAACATCACAAGTTTAAAGTAAAAAATTAAAAAAAAATTAAGTCAAAAAGCTATTACGAACACAGTACTCATTTTGTAACGTACTACAATTGATTGAAGGCTTACAGGAATCGCATTGACTTTAGATGAGAAAACGTTCCATCCGAAACATTGGCTAAGTTGCTAGAAGACACATCCCTGCGTGTTAAATAAAGAGAAGTTTTTCTTCAGCTCATTCAGTATTGAAAGGAAAAAAATACATGGAATCATAGAGAAGAGTAAAGTTGGAAAGGCTAAAAACTACTCGCTCAAATGAAAATTTCCCTGTGTTAACAGGGATCACTGATGTTTTTATGGTTCAATTACAAATTTCTCGGTCTTACATGAATTCAGTTGTTCCAGGAGCACACTGAATTACGTCCAATGACGACGATAGGTTCTTGCAGAGAAGAGTATTTCCGAAAAAGAGCCTCCACTCATAATTACACTTAGGTTTGCAATCTGATGAATAAGTAAAAAAAATCCGACTGAAATTAATAGTGGAATGTATGTAAAATGTAGGAATTTAGATTATCCGAAAATTGATTCAACACCCAACTCGTTGACGTGGAGCACGTTGTTGAGCGTTGAAGAACTGAAAACATCAGCCAATCAGCGCTTGATAAAGTATCACAAGGAGCCAAAAAAACAGCAGAGCAAATTTTCCACAAGCGCGGGACACGCGGGTGACCATGTCGTGATTGGCTTATAACTTTTCATCTGATTGGTTGAGAGGCAAGAGAGATGTTTCTACACCAATCACAGAGCGTGGTATGACTAACTAAACCAATGTAATCTGATTGACGGCACCGATTTGAGTTATGATAATATGAGATATCGACTTTTTTTTTTGCCAAAAACACCAGATTAAGTTGCTCAGAGTATTTTTTCTGCCGTCATACAAATCTTTAAGGTATGCTTTACTATACACCTCATAATAAATTATGTTTCGTTTATTTAACCTGAGGAAACCTATTTATAACCATTCATGAATAAGTCAAATAGAGCTGTTTCAGTCGAATGTTGAAAAAACGAAACCAAAGTTATTACAGCGGCCAATTGAAGCAATATTACATCATCGTTGGCTAATGAGGAAGCAATAGGCCCTTTGCAGCTAGGAGGTCACGTGCCTAGCAACGCCGAATTGGAGAGCAAGCTTTTCTGCGACGACAAATCGAATGAGTGTCTTGAGCATCACGCGTATGTATATCTGAAAGGCGGTTATTTTGAATTCAAGCGGTAAATACCATTCCATCTCTCAAAATCCAGTAAGTTTAGCATATAAATATAGCTTTTAGCACATCTTCAAATCGGAAAGGTTAATATTAACTGGGATCGCGGCAAGAATATCAGCGTCAAGTCGACTACGAGTTACAAACATGGCTTCTCCTCCAGGTATGTAGAATAGATCTTGTCTTCTTCCTGCACTTTGATAGCGACGTTTGGACGATTAATACAAGTAAAAAGAAAGAAAATACAGTAATTCACTACGCCTTAGGGTTTAGAAGCTGTTTACTTTTGAAAAACATAGAATTTTGGCTGCTTATTCCCCTCAAGACTATGGTGTCGGAACCAACAAGCGTTGTTTTCATTGTTGTAGATATCGATATGGACGAGTCAGTTGAACAATCCATTACGGGCAGAAAAAATTCTGCATACCATTGCTGTGTTCCCCTATGTAATGGGGATTCAAGGTACCACGAAGATTTGCGTTTCCATCGCATTCCCGGTCGTACCAAGGATGAAAAGTTGAAGAAGGAATGGCTGGTGAAAATCCGAAGAGACGAAGGTCCTGACTTCAAGGTATTTTATAGAGACATTTCGATTTTCAAAGCATTTGGCAAGGATTTGTTCGGTCAACTTGTGTCTAATGGCTTATAAATTTTCCCATTTAGATAACAACTAGTACGAGAGTATGCTCAAGGCACTTTACCAAGGAAGATTACCTTCCCCCCACCAAGTCTGGTAGCCAGCGACTGAAAAGAGGTGCTGTTCCATCGAATTTTAACTGGAATTCCTCCTTCAAAGCACGAAGAAAGATTATTCGACATGTCGACAGGTAATATATTCTTTGGTTATGTTTTAATGCATCGTTGAGTTTATGAGGTTACAATGATAAGTCTAGACTAGAANCGAAACGTCAGCTTTTGTAATCGTTACGGTGGCCAATTTACCATTTCAACTTTGTCGAAATGGTAAATTCGCTCCGACGAAGGGCTAACGCTCGAAACGTCAGCTTTTGTAATCGTTACGGTGGCCAATTTACCATTTCAACTTTGTTGATATATCCAAATTATTTGGTTACTCCCACCGACGCAGCCCCAAACAGTTTCTTTCGTCGAAACTATCAGCCTTTATTAATGAGGAAGCAAACTGCTTAAAGCGCGGGAAAACGCGTTTGGCAAAGTTGCGACTGTTTTGAGTTTTGCATCCAATTGGTAAAGAGGGTGGCGGGAGTTTTCTGCACCAATCACAGAGTGAAGTAAAATAAAATCAAAGCAATCCCGGCTTATCTTTAACAATGTATTGAAAGTTGCTCTATAATTTTTTCGTACTTGTTTTGAGATTTAACAGAGGCTTACCATTAAAAATCACTGTAAAGTTTTTAACATCCAAACCATGCTTGCTTGAGGCGATACAGGAGTAATTCCCTTGTAGTTGTAACGCTATTGTAGCAGTTCTTGTTGTATTTGTAAGTAGCACGGAGTTCATTTTAATGGCTGTGTATACAGGAGTGGTTCCAATGACAGGGCAAGACCACCTGTATCCTGGTAGTGTTCGTATGACAGAAACTTGTAACATAACTTTTGGCAAGACTGACGAGAAAATGAGTTTAAACATTAGAGCTGATAGCAAAAAATATGGCACTGGTTGGGACATGGAAACGGAAATGGAAGTCAGTGAGTCCTCACCTAAGAAATAACGATTGGATAATAATAATAATAATAATAATAATAATAATAATAATAACCTTTGTGTCGTTTTCATCGTCTGATTTATTTAATACCATAAGCTGAATTCTCCACGCATTTTGGTTTTTACCTATGATCTATTCGAGGACAGACGTATAGATGACGTCACTATTAACGACATTCTGCTTTGTTATCATATAAAACAAGTAAATTCCGTGTTATTATTTATCCATTCATTTGGCTCTTACACACACACGCATAAATTACAATTGTTTACAACAATCAAAAATAATAACTATAATAATATCATATCCATATAAATTTACTATCTATGATCATTTATAAAAAGTGTGGCGAGGAAGCCCAGCAGAAGCTATGAGCTTATAAAACCTTGGTTCCTCACACGATGTAGAAGGTAGATTTCCTAATTACGGGCGGGCGAGATTAATTCACTTTTCTGTCAATGAGGAATTTTTTAAGCGCAGTCTTAAAGGTAGAGAATCTGTAGGATAAAGTGAAGTCACGAGGTAAGGAATTCCAAACCTTTGGACCTTGGTGCATGATCGTAAACTGCTTGATAACAGTTCTGTCGTAGGTCTGTAATTTTATAGATCAAAGAAGACGTCGAAAGTAGTGTAAACATCAGTACACCACTCAGCTACGCCTTGTGTGCCACTTTTTTTTCTTACCACATTTTGATGTCATCTGTGATCTGCTACTGAGCACACGCACATGCGCAGCAACATGGAATCTCTGAGTTAATTCTACTTTGTCCAACATCAAATTGGTTGTACCACATCAAGGCTAACTTTCATTCCAAAGTCTCAGACAACAGACTTAAGTAAGATCATTGAAAATGAATATGCTCTTCCACTCCTATTACTCCTTCTCAAAAAGAAAAAATTAAAACCTGACCATAATGTCTATCATACATACCTATCGGGACAAAATTGAAAGACAGCAAAAATCTCCACTGTAAACTGTAATCTGAGTGGAATGTTATCACGACGTATTTTCCATCCAAAACAATCTGGTAACCGGTGCGGTAACCACAGTAAATACCAATAGTCTTGTTTTTCTCATCGGAGATCACTACGTAGTCATTTCTGTGATCATCAAAATAATAAAAACTCCTTGTTTCTATGGTACTGTATCTAGTCTTTTATGACGCGTGGCCAGAGAGCACAAGTTGGGAAGCATAGGGTAATGGGAAGGTGCACTACACCTCACGATTGCATGCCTTACTCTGACGCGATTTAAGAAAGAGAACTGGGGTCAAGTCAGGGAGGGCGCTGACAAATTATCAGAACTGGCTTGCATGGCAGTGTAGTTAATTCATGAAGCAAATTTCGTAGTTTATAAAATTTTTCCAGCCCAGTAAGTTCATTTTCGTAATATGATGTTCGTGAAACAATTTCACCGAGGACATTGGCTGAAAGTACATTAATTATTAATTAATTATTAATTAATTATTAATTAATAATTATTAATTATTAATTATTAATTATTAATTATTAATTATTATTAGTAATTTCACCGAGGACATTGGCTGAAAGTACATTAATTAATTCCAAACAACGTAGAAAATTTACATCAAGGGCAAGGTTGCAATGGACCACAGAAGGTTGAAGTTTAATGTTTATCACTGTGAAGTGATCATTTTATTTTATCGGGATAAAGACACCAACAGTAAATTGGACTTGTCTTAGGAGCACGGTTAGTTGTTGTAGTCTTTGAAAAAGAAATATCTTGCCTTCCAAACTTGATTACCTTATACTCAATATAGTGATAAATGCAGGAGGAAGCTTTATCTTCGCGTCAAAACAGTTACTGAAGATCTACTAATATTACTTACACACAAAGATAAGTATCCTCAATTTCAAAATCAAAGAAAGAAATGATCAGCTCTGTCTGTTTAGGAATGGGAACTACGTAAACACAGTGTGCATTGCTTGGATAGTCGTTCGGATAGCCTGGACTTTTCAAAGAGTTATTTGCCACTGCGCCACACTCTATCGGAGAAAGGAGAAAAATATACTAATGAACCGCCTTTTAATATTTGATCAAATCTTTCTCATTCTACAGCGATCATTTCAAAATGCTCCGTTGCCTCTGTGCCCATGCGCGAAATATTTGATCAATCTTTCTCATACTACAGCGATCACTTCTCTTCATGGTAACCTCATCAAAAGAGATTTGGGAGGGGGCAAGGGGATTGTAAGGGGAGGGGAGGGTAAGGAGACGTTAACCTTAACACCTTTTCTCCCGCCATGCACTGGTGCTATGGATTCACAATCAAAATCAAATCATTCAGTTGAATCTTTGGTAAGAACAGAATTTTCTTGGGACCACCATGATATAAAGAGGAAAGGATATGGATTAAACCTGATAAAAGAGAAAAGTTGAAAATACCTTTTTCTTTTATACTCGAAGGCATTGTGTTGTTGCCTGCATAAGAAAAAATCACAAATTCAGTTATAATAACATGAGAAATATCTTCCTTATTTCAATTAATGCTGATTAAACACAGAAGCTCCCCTTTCAATTTAAGCCCCTTCACCTGCGCATGCGCAGCTTATGGAAAAACTGTAGGACCCAAACTCACAATATTACGACTCTTTACTAGATTTCCTCCTTCAATCAAGAATGAAAAAAACCTTGAAAAATACTGCATTCGGTCCAGACGAGTTTCACTTTTTTTTTTGAAACTTTTAATGGCATAAAAAAGTGTGAAAGAAAAAAAAAGCCTCGTTTCGGCACACTAAATGCTGCTACATTCCCAGAGAGCCTTATGCTGTAATGACATGATGACGACGTCAAGAGGAACTAGTAAGCGCATACACTCTTAAAACATGGAGCGGTTGCAAGCTAAGCCTTACCAAGTGGAACAGCAGTGAAGTAAATCTCAAATCCTCTCTCCTGACCATATGCGTCTGATATGAACGTCATAAATACAAAGTCACCAGTTACGAGGATTTCTTTTCCAGTCCATTCCCCACAGTATTTACCTAACTTCTGGCCCTTTACATTTGTTACCAAAAGAGAGTCGGCCCACCTTAACAAAAATAGATTAGTTTTGCATCAATTTCAATTGCCCCATAATTAAAATTTTTTAATTTTCACATTTCCCAAGTTCTTATTACATTTACTAAGGAAACTCTTCCAAAATGCAGCTGAGGGTAAAAAGGAAACGAAAATGATGAACACTTCGATATTTGACTTCCTTTAAAAAGGTAAATCTCAGATTTCTTAGTTTGTTCTTTAAGCGGTACACCTACTCCTGCCTTAAAATCTCTTATGCACTGCTGGTACACTGCCTGGTTTAGAAGTCACCTGCCTTTTTGGACGTTTCCGCCAGATGTGGCGGTCACCACCTGAATTCGATGTAACCACCTGATTCGTATGGGCGTGGTGGTCGCTTTCAGCGGTATACACAAGCAAAAGGAGCAATTTACGTTGCTGATGAGAAGATAAAGTATGCGCCCGAGTCCAGTGACCCATGGCTTATTCAGTTTTCTGTAGCTACACTGGCTTGCTGGGATGCGAATTCATCGCAGGTTACAAAAAATTGTGCCTATTTTGAGCGACTTCCGACACTTTTTGGAGCTAGGAGCTTTAAAGGAAACCTCCAACAACACCGTTATTTCAAACCTGTTTTCTTTTTTACTTACTCGCATGACGAGTCAATGAACTCCACTAAGAAATAATGGAAAGTGACCAACATCGCCTTTCCTTTTGGGATTGGGACGGAATAGTTGCATTCCAATTCTATGGGATAATCTTTGGGATATCCAGGACTCATCAGTGTGTTATTCACCACTGAGCCACACTCTGGAATAGTAAAACAAGCAGCAACTTTCAATGCTATCTTCAAAGAAGCTCATGTTATCTATGAAGTTATCCGTTCATTTTAAAGCATATGCACAGCCACCTCAGCGATACGTTTCACTCATATCCGAGCCGTCACGGGTAAGGGAACAAGGAGAGCTTGAGGGGGCTCCGGTTCCTCCTCCCCCCCCCCCNCCCATATACGTTTGGCTTGGTTTACTGTATATTTAGATTCTACTTCCCCCCTTCCCCCACTACGTTTCAAAATGCTTCTTTGCCTCTGTGCCCATGCGCGAAATAAGAAGATTGAAAAGAGGATTCTAAATTAAATCAAACATACCGTCAGAGAATCCAGGTAAAGTTAGATTACCTACCAAGGAAAAAGGATCAATTAAGCATAGAAGCTAGCCTGAGTGGGTAAACAAAAGGTAAGTTTTCACATTTTTGGTAATCGAAATAAATTAAAAGTATATGGGGCAAACTACATCATAACACAGCAGGCACTCCCCTTGTCTAATTCCTTTTGAGCCATCTGGTCTATGTTGGCTACTCCGTGTGAAGTGGCTGAATTTTACCGCAAAGGTTCCATCCAGTCCAAGCGCAGTTTCCTGTTTCCAAATTTTCCGACTCAGTCAACTCAATACGTTTCTTTCACGCTCTTGAATTTTGCGCACACATCCATACCACGCATTGCTCGCGCTCATTATGAACCTCTTCTCATGGGTCAGTAATTCGATTGGCAGTCAAAAGTAACCCTCGGCACAGACTCTTGTAAAGGTTTAAAGGATCTTTATACTGAGACCTTTTGATTATGACACAAATCAACGTCCTCGAAACAGACCTCACCACAGAGCAATGATTCCTGTGTCACGTGTGCATATCTATTAAACAAGTTTGTTGTGACACACTTCAAAGTCAATTGACGCATGTGTATGGCTACCTTTTCCTATGTCCTTACCAATTGGGGCAGTCCAAAAGTTCATGAGAAATCCCCGTTCTTGAAACATTGAATCCGATTGGAAGGTTATCAGAGCATATTCTCCTATTGAGGTCACCGTTTTCCCAGTCCACTCGCCACAGTACGTCCCAAGAGTTTGCCCAGTGCTGGCCTTTATTTGCACATAGTCAGCTTGTCTGGAAAAAGTAAACAAAGGAAATATGTTTACTTGAAGGATGGCTATGATTAGAATCAGACCTTGTGGAAGGGACTGGTTTTGAAAGCTGGCGAACTTCAGAGACAAATGTTACTGTTATAGTCTCCGCTCTGCCGAGGGACTTGAGCCGCGACTCTGATAGATTTCACTGCAGAAGAACGCGCAGTCATCTTACGTGGCAAACTTGCTTCACAGCTCACTTTTCCCCCTTCCCATCAGCATTGCACACCTCGCTAGTGGGTGGAAACGCTTGGCGTGTGAGTAATTTAGATATTTATGGCTGATATTTACAGGTAAGAAGAATTCATTTTGTAATCTATAGAGCAAAAGGGCATATTGATTTAGCACAAGTATTAGAGTAATTTAGGATGGTTCCCCTTCACCGCGCTCTGTCATGGGCTCAAAAACTCGCACCATCCTTCAACCAATCAGATGAAAAACCTAAACTACTCACGGCTGTGTCATCCGCATTTTTCCGCGCACTCGTTGGCTGCTTGTACCGCTGACCGTTTTACTTATGGGCTGTGGTCGTAAGCTAAGCTTTGTTTTCTCGACCCCAATCAAAAAGTGCCTCAGAAGTTGATAATTTTACTCACGTGCAAGATAACCCGTCAACTTTCTCTAGGTGGAAGTATTCAAAAGTGATAATCAGTGCAGAGTTCTTTGGAATTGGAACAGAGTACACGCAGTACATATCGCTGGGGTAGTCACTCGGATAACCAGGACTTTTCAGTGTACTGTTTACAATTGTCTCACATCCTTCAATTGGAATAGAGAATAAAGTCCTCTTGGCACATAAAACGATTGTGTTTAAGTCGAAAAAAAGCATAGAATAAGAGTTTCCATAGGTAGATAAACACCACAGTAGCAAGAAAAACACAAAAATAACATAGATCATGTAAGGACGGCTAACACCAAAACAGTTTGCGGATGTCAAATTTAAAACTTCAGGATAACAACGGGATACTCTGTCACAAGGCTTTTCACAATTCGTTGACAGCTGTGGGTCACCTGTCACCCTAGGAGCGATTAAAAAGGAAATTTATCTTTACAATATCAGTACATTTAACTGCAAAAGGTGAAAAAGAAGAAAATTTAAAACAAAGGATTTTTTTTATTTAACAACAAAATCTAAGGGATAAGGCTTTAAGGGGTGAATGACACAGAGAGGAAAACTGCTGTGTAGATGTTTGGTGAGAAAGAGTGAAGTTGGCTATACCGCGAATTAGGGAGTTACAACTAATCTTTGATTTAAAGTTGGAAAGAACATCAAGGAAAAATGACTGATCATGGATGTAGGAGAGCGACCACGGTTGTACATAAAAAAATAATTAAAAAATCTAGGCATAGTTTTCTAACATGCACAACGTCATTACTCCAAATAGTAAATATATATATATCTTATTAGACGTTTTGTTGTGTAGTATCGCTGAGTATTTTTACGAGTTGTGCCGTATATTGACGAGCCCGTAGGGCGAGTCAAAATACAAATAACGAGTAAAAATACTCAGCGATACTACACAACAAAACGTCTAATAAGTTATTTTTTATCCAACACGCCAAACTGTTATTTCAGTGCGGGCGAATTTCGCAAATATTTATTTACGGGGAGTGCGTGACAGAAGTATGCGAAGCGGAACAGAATTGGCGCGTTGTTGTGTTGCTGTTTCTATTTTCTTCATTAAATTTTCTGGTCGTCAAGCTGTTTTTCTTCGTTCGATTCATCTAATGAGCTAGGATCTGTATTTGCCAGCCATTCTGACTCCTCTTCGTCGGAAATATGATTCAAATTGTTCGCCAATTTTTTTTTTTTTTCGTAACTACAATCCATTCTTCGCTTGCGCGATGCGAGAAAACCTGTTTAACCGGTACTACAATAGACGAGTACAAATACCGCGTGATATTTGTACTCGTCTATAGCGTTATTTGTACTCGTCTAGGTGTAGTTGGATAATAACACGAAAAACTGATGCAGCGATCTTTTTCATCAAAAATTGTACAATAAAACTACTTTTCAAAATACAGTTTTGTGAGGAAAAAGCCTTGAAAAATGTATGCCATATTTCTTAACATTGTTGAAGGAAAAGACCTGCAGATGGGCTTTCAACGCGTTTTATCAGCATACTTACGAAGGGATGACGAGGCCATACTTTACCTCTATTTAAGAATAAAAGATTCGAATAATTATGTTCGATTCTTCTTTTAGGGCGATAACCTCACACATTTCATGTATCTCATATATTACTGTTTCTTTTATGGTCTTTTCTATTCTTTTAAATCTTATTCATTGCTTCTTTCATTCATTCTTACATACCTGGAGAGTTGAAAGCGTTTGTTTGTTCCATCCACTCAAACATGACAAAAACCAAAAGTAGCTTCATGGAGAAAGAGACATCCATTCTCAGCTTGTATCAAAAGAATACAAACTCTACCGAGGAAGCACGAATTGCTGTAGTTTAGAAAAAGAATATTAGTATTTTTGTGTTGACTTGATAGGTTTTTCCGAAACATTGAGATGTTTGCAACAGCCGGGCGAGTTTGTTTGGTAAAAAAGGGTTTAGCCCCCATTCTTTGGAAGGAAGCAAGGCACTCTCTTCGAATAGAATTGAATATCGGAATGGAAAAGAGCAGTTCTAAATCATTTTCGTTTACCTGAATCAGCGTGCCTCAGATTCTGCGAGTTCACTGTCAAGTGTTACACCAATCTGCAGATGGGACAAGCCCACCACTAACCTCAGTTGCCTTCACAAAGACTTGCTGTAAAGTGTGCAGTGGCCATGCAGTTTTGGTTTAAATCAATTTGAACTGTTTACACCCTGTGTGGTAGATGTTCCATTTTTTGACAAAGACACAACAGATGTTCAGAATGGTGAAACTTTGTATTTTTAGGTTTACAGTCAGTAAATGCTTCTTCACGCTTTCAAATAACGCGAAAAAATTTTCGCGTCAAATATCGCTTGCTTCATTCTGTGCCAAGCGAGCGTAAAAATTGCAAAAAAAGCACCGAAGCAAGGCTTCATTCTTTATTTAAGTAAAATGATGAGATCGGTAAACGACTTTCTGCCCCCAACTGACAAAATCGAGTCGCAATCTTTAGACTAATTCGAATAAACAAAAGAGTTCGTTTTGCAGCAACCACACGAAAAGTTTCCTTGTGAAAAGCGAAGTTTCTATCCTTTTTCATCAAGAAATAAACGACATGAAACTGGTTTTGGTATTTCTACGGCTATCTTAAAGGAGGAAAATGAATAGCTCTAAATTTATGATCACTGACGTAGAATATCAGGACTGGCTCAAAAATAGTACCTTAATAAACAATTTTCTGTTCGGCCCCTATGCGTTTAGCGACACTAATGATGGCTAACAGCGTAACTTATATTTTCAAAAGTCTATTTGACCTTCCAATCAGTAATTTTTGAGGATCACAGGTTTAAAGAGTTACTCCCACTTTCGCGATATAAACAGCTTTCTTTTTTAAATGTTCAATGGCCCGCACAATTTTAGCTCTGCAGGACCAAATAGAATGGACCTCTTCGACGATCAGTGTCACGAAAAATCACCAATTTATTGTAACTGTACACAAACATGATTCGTGCGTATTTCAGTTGATATCGTTGGATCGCAGAAATGTATGTCAGTAGCCCTTTCCCCCGTTCCATACATCTGCCTTAAAAATCGTGTACTGGGGTGTCATATGTTAACGAGTTTGCTACGAATTCTCGAGAAACTTATCAGTAGCTAAATATGAAATGCATAACTAGCTGTGAAACAAGGCTAATTTAAATGGCAATGTTGTCAAATAGAATATTATCCTTAATCATCAGCAACCGGGATTGTTACTCTGAAAATCACTTCACATCCACTACCTAATAAAAGGTGAGCCCCCACCCCCTCCCCTCTTCCATGCCCCTACCCTCCCTCCTCATCAACACCCACGTCGCTGTCATGATGGACGAAACTTCAGGCCTCTATAGAATTTATTTGATGCTCAAAATCGAGCTAGCTAACGTTATACAAAAAAAATTTCTAATTGTAATAGAACTTTCAGGTTTTCCACTTTGTAGAACAGTACATTCACTGTGGTTCACTTCTTTCCGTAAACCTTCTCTTTTGTTGAGTGCACAACCGCCATGGAGTCTTCGACATGTTCAATGGTGTAGGTCCAATCTTCGAATCCTTCTACCTGCAAAGGTTCTTGTAATTCGTCTTGCAAAAGCTTTGCAGGGGACGTCGAGCCTACCTCATCTCCCAACTTGTAAAGAGCGCGATTGTATATCTGTTCCGCGTGGCCAAGAATCTGTATAGGAACATTAAACTTACGTCCGAGCTGGTACCCAAGATTAAGGTCCTTGCAATGGAGCCCAATGGTGAAATCTGGATCATAAGTTCCATTGAATACCAAAGGAGCTTCGGTCTCCCAAGTGTACGTGTTGCCAGCGCTAAATCTAATGGCATCAAAGAGAGATTTTAAATCGACACCACCCCTTTTCCCCAGCAACATGGCCTCAGTCATAGTAACGACATTAACAGCAGCTAACATGTTTGAGACAACCTTGGCAATGGTAGCAGTCCCCATCTCTCCCATGTACAGCACTTTCTTACCGCTCTGTTGTAGAATAGGTAGGCAGTCTTCGAAGAGCTGCCTGTCTCCTCCAACCAGTACAGTCATTTTACCTTGCTTGAGAAGAGCCATGCCACCCGTGACGGGTGCCTCCAGAACTTTGATGCCTTTCATAGCTTCGGAGGTAAAATATGAGTCAACAATAAGCTCTAGCGTAAGTAAAATCCTAGAAAATCATTTTATTCACGTTTTACTCTCTGACAACAAGTTTTAAAACAATACTGCGCGCGAGAAATTGTAACGCAAAAGGCATTATGACACGAAATTCATTCGGACCTTTGAAGTGCAAAGTGACCCAAGAGTTTAAGAAGTCATGGTTCCAGCCCCGACCATTTAGTTTCTTTACCCTTACGGTGTCTCTCCACCGAGAAGTATAGAGTGTATCAATTGAACTTATATCGACCATAAGGAAAAATTAACAAAATGCCGGTATAATCAAAACTACGATGACTGACCATTTCAAATTTCCTTGTTTCCATTGCAGTTCTCAGGTACCCATTTATACTTGGAAAGAGATATCAGTGACACCAGCTGGGTTCCCCCAATGAATAAATATATATATATATTTCACGGCGTCTGGGATCGCGTCCACGATACCGTTCGGGATGCCGCGGCCAGAATCAAACCGGGATCCCGCCCTGAAATACATCGGGGTGTCTCCCTGGACAGCTGGGATCCTATCCGGGATTCCACTCGGGATTTCGACGAAATAATAACCGGGAACATGCTATCCGTGCGCCCGCCTCATCTCTTACCTCATCTAATCCTAACTACGCTCTCTTAAAAAGGTGCTCGCTCTAATTTTAAGACACGTACCAGCTTCTTCAGTAAGGTCCAAAGTCTGCTGATAATCCGTGGTTGAGTGGTCAATCCACACCCCTCCTGACCGTAGCCCTGCCAACACCCCGTCCTCTCCAGACAGGACTTGTTTGACATGGGGTGGGGCAGGGAGAGCTGTTGTGACTACATCACACATGGCAGCCAGTTCACGGGGTGTCTTTGGACGTGGTATATCCCCAGGTAGATCTAGCCCCGCTGTTGGGTCCTTGTCGTGTAAGGCGGACACTGTGAAACCTGACTTAAGAAGGTTCTTAGCAACGGTTGCGCCGACATTTCCTAAGCCGATGATTCCAATTTTATGAGCCGTTTTAGTAGAGTACGCTGACCGGAAGTTGCCATGACGACCGAGGAAAAGACGAAAAGCTTTTCTGCCAATCATTTCCTAAAAGCTGTGTAAGAATAAAAAAAGAATCGAATAAATTTATGTTTGCTCAGATAAGGGACCAAAGTGTGTTGACTAAGGGGAGGGGGGTGAGATCACATGGTTTTCAAGGGAAACAGAGGAAAATAATCGTCACCAAAAGAATATAAGGGAGGGATTATAGAAAATCAACTGCCAAGGAAGGGGGGTGAGGTTCGTAAGAATATTACAGAGGCTTATGGGGGACAAGGTAAGTTTTATGGTGACACACCCAAAATCCACCGACTCCCCCTCCCTCTTGACGAAAAAGGATAGAAACTTCGCTTTTCACAAGGAAACTTTTCGTGTGGTTGCTGCAAAACGAACACTTTTGTTTATTCGAATTAGTCTAAGATTTTGATACCATCAATTGACGAATTGTTTTTCACGGTCAACTTCTTTTCACGACGATCAATTAAAGCTTGTCAATTTTTACGCCTAACGGCTATATATTTTTGTCATTCTACAGTTAACGGCCAACCTCATCGAGGCCCTCTTCTATACGGATTAACGTGGACAGTGGCCACGTATTCATATCAACCGATGGTCGCTCCTGGTACTTATTTTTGAATAATCCACGACATTTGAAACAAAAACGCAACACACTCGGAAAAAAAAACAACAACAACAAAAAAAAAACAATTAAAAAACAATTTAAAAACAACAAATGTTTTTAAAACTGGCGACTTGAAAGGCGTGACACTAAGTCAACCTCTTCCTCTCATTGCAATATCAAAATAATCTCCGCGCTGAATCTTTTTTCTTAAATTCATCTTTTCTTATCGTTGTTAATAATTACATTTCCTATCGAACTTAACTTCTCGTTACTGGTTTTCTCTTCTGCCGTTACCTTTTTTCTTGTTACTCTTTACTCCGTTACTCTGTTACGCGTTATATTGCGTGACTCAGCAACACCTACATTTTGCGCAATTTCGTACTAATAACACGGTCGATGTCGCGCCCCACATCGAATGTCGTGTCCTTTCGATGCCGCCATTTCTAACCTCTCGCCTCTTTAGGCATCATGCTACGATTCTTGAAATTGAAATGCACGATTCAATCACACGGAGCATCTTTCTCCGTTTCATGCTGATATCAGCTGTACGGAATATGAAGTCTTTTAGTCGAAATCTAATTAGCCACACGTATACATTAAATATGCACACCCCAAGTGCAAAAAATGAGCGAAATAAAGACGTTCTCGTCTGACTCTCGGCCTGCGTATGCTCTTACTGTGTTCTTAAAATTTTGTTTCTTCACTGTACGAAGCAATTTGGAGAAATCAATCCACTTTTAGAACCAGAGTCGAATTTAAAGAGGCTTCTCTGTGTAGTATTTGGTTGCATGTATTCCAAGGCATTGTTTAAAAGATCGTGAACAATCATGCAGGTATGATTTGCCTCTTTGGTTTTAACAACTAGGGTGAATTGGTATGATTTGCCTCCTTGGTTTTAACAACTAGGGTGAATTGGTTGATATTTATGTAGGAGTTTCGAGCGTTAGCCATTCGCCTTTCGCTCGGACGTCAGCTTTAATGTGGTCTAAGCTCTCGCAACGGTGGCCAATGCACATAATCAACTCAGTTGTTAAACAAATTACCTTGTAATACGCCCCACTAACGCAGCATCATAGTTTCTCTAGAAAAGGCCCACCTCCTTCATACACTACAAATGGTTTTTCCAGTGTTCATTACTTTAACGGCCAAGTTATAAAATGATTCATCACTTACCTAGCGTTGAAATACGAAGTCTTACTCTTACAAGAGTGCGTTAGGCGTAGTGAGCCGTACAGCGTGACTTGCTAAACCCCGCTCCTCACAAGCGGTTGTCACTCATCGCGCATAATGAGTTGTTCAGTTGGGGAGACGAAGGGCTGTTTGGTCATGCAAAGAAGGCCATTCCGTAGAGTCATTCAAAGGTGCAATTTTGTTTTCAGCGCAGCCAAAATCAGACAAATACTGTATTGACTGACAAATGTGAATTGTCTCCAGTCTGCTCGCACGGAGAGCGACCAGGCGGCCCAGAAATATTCTGCGGCAGCAATCTGATCCTGTAGTTTCTTTCTCGAATCTTGGACTCCGTAGCCTACTTGCAGCCGTACCCTCCCCCCCCCCTCCTCCGAGGAGAAACGGACGGGAGTAAAATGTCTGAGCTCCGTCCCTTTCGACTCTCCACGGGGGAAGGGTACGGCCATACCAGGCTATTGACTCTACTCATTTTTTTCCCAACTCCTTCTAAACAAGACGATCTCGCTAAGGGCCAACCAATCAAATTCTAGGGAGGGGGGCATAGGGGGTTTGACGTGGTAACAACAACTACGGTTGACATCTTATGACCGTCTTTTGTTACCTTTCATTTATGTTACTTTCACAGTAGCCTGCGAAGCAAGCCCTGGGGGAGAGGAGGGGGATTGGGGCGAGCGGAATGTGCGGAATCCCCTCCGCACATTCCGTTGCCCCCAATCCCCCTCCTTTCCCCCAGGGCTTGCTTCGCAGGCTACTTTCACAGTAATTAATTTACTAGTTAGCAAATATTGTACTATGTAGTACAGTGGCAAAGGTGGAATTTATTTTGGTTTAGAATTAGATCGAGGATTCCACAAATCAAATATTTACTCCGCAATTAATTCAATTTGTTATATACATGTAATTAAAAAGAGTGGATTTAATACTTAGCGGGTGGATGGTTAACGAAAGTTGTGACACTATAAACAAAGTTGTCGAATCTAAAGCGAGGGTGCTATTACTTCGAACAAGAAATGAAAATATCTAATAACAACCTCAGTTCTTCTCTATGAAACGCACTGACTAAAGCACCACTTCGGAACTTAACATAGTTATCATTGCAGTAAATATTTTCAGTCATCGATTATCAGCTTCCCAGACCCTCGGTCCCCTCCCCCACAGAATCAGTGACTCTTCCACTAGAAGTTCGAAGTCGCAGAGCTCTTCTGTCTACAAAAATAGGGTCAGTGCTTTTATGCCTAGAGTGGTTCTGTTAAAATCCATCAACCAAAAGTTGTTCGTCTTATAGTTTCCTTTCCACATGAATTGCTCACTACAAAACACGAAATATTCAGAAAAGGCTCTTCAGCTTGCGTACTAGCAGTTATTCTCGCGGGCAAGAAACAATGCTAATCGTCTTCTTTGAACTGTTACGCAACGCTCCTGTCCATTTTTTTTTTTTTTTTTGTTTTTTTTTCTTGGCGGGGAAGAAAGATGGGAGGAGTGAAGGGAGTCGTTGCGTGACATCTCAAAAGACAGCTGGGAAGGACACTGTGCAAGATATTCAAACGCTTATTGATACTGGTTGTCTTGGTGATTTAACTACTTCCTATTTCAGCGGAGATATTTTAGGAACAACTAAAGGCCTCCTTACAAGCCATAAGAGCATCCATGGCGTTCGGAGCGATTCTAAGCATTTGCAGAGGTACGCCATTAAAGTTGTAGTTGTAATCTTTATAAGTGATCCATTTTCCGTCCTCGTCGCCTTTGGTGTGATGCCCATCATATCTCCAGAATCCCGAGGAATCCTAAAGTAAATGGGGAAAAAAAAATACATCACGCCACTGATTGCGTTAAAATTGACCGCAACAATAATTTGGATAAAACGTGCGTCCAACGAACCGTTCACTTGTTATACAAGCTATGACAAACCTTGTAGACGCATGTGACGACTCCCTCGTGGTATCTCACTCCCCCGGTGTTATTCCCCGCCGTAGCGCTGTAACCTCCCTGGGGGAAAAACACAATTGAGTCCACGCCTACTTGGTCTTCACTTGGGACCTTGTCAATCGCCAGGTCCTGCAGTAAACCAGAATTCAAGTTAGTTTTGACCTTCACACCCTAACATCAGTATGCATTTTCTCCATACTGTTCTCTATACATTTCCAAAGGTGCTAACAAAAAGAATTTGTTTAACAACCAAGAGCTTCTTTAATTGGTGGTCATTTTCTTAATGTTTAACTCGGCAGCAATCTGTGTCTGCTTCTGTTAAAACTTGCCACTGGATCCCCCAGATTTCGTCCGTGTTCTGTGAACAAACTATTCTCTCCCGTAAACACTTCGTTTTCCCCCAAGATGTACCTATTTCGTCTACATACCTTATACGACTGGACTTTTCCTGTAGGATCTCCGTCGTCCCAGTCCACTGTGTATTTTAAAGTCTCGCGGTCGAAGCTCACAATGGTCGCCGTGTAGTATGCCCATTTTTGATGATGGGATATCACGTGATCACCTATGACAGGCGCACAGTAGCTTCTGGCTTCCTCTACGTGACCAAGTAAAGGCAAAATAGCCTCCCTAAAAATTATCGTTTAAAGATTAATAATCGTGTTAGAAAGTAGCCTGGAGTCACCTTCTACAATCTGAATGGTTGTTCGTTCATTTCAAGAGCAACCATTTTCATTTTACAGGGTCTTGGACTGCGTTCACACTTGGTGCTCGAGCACGGCGCCCGAGTACGCTTCTTGATGGGCAATTATTTGAACACACCTTTTTTTCAAGTACCCACGCCAGAATTCGGGCACCGTGCCCGCCTTGTACTTGTGTCCACTTCGAATTCTCATCAGCTCGCACTGAAACCTGAAACTGTTCTGGTTCTAGTTTAACAACATTAAATCGAAGGGCGCTCTATCTGCTCTGGGAAAGCTAACTTGACCTTGAGAGTATGATACTCACTGTATTTCCGCTAATTTCTCTATGAACACGTGTTCAGAGTGGACATCCTGTAAATTGATGGGTTGGATCTCCTGACCGCCCACCAACAGCCCCACCACTGTTTTTTGCCAGTCATTGTCTGCTCCCACGATCACTGGGACCAACGGCTTCTTCAGAGACTAAAAAAACGCCAAATTCTATTATCAATCGCGTTTGAGTAAAAAATCGCGTAGAAACCAGACAAAAAAATTCTTAACTTACCTTAAGAGCGAACTGCAGTTCTATTCTGCAGTTTTCACTGTTGGCGTACTGTTTACTAACAAACGCTAACACCACTTTGGCCTTTCCGAGTCCTTCGGCGATTTGCTCAAACTGAAACGAATAAATGAACGGAATTAAACACACATGCAAAAAACTGTGAAGCCTTGCAAGGCTGGGGAGTTCAAAATTTACGAACAGGTTAATATCCCGAGTTCATTTGTCGCTGGAGAAAGAAGAGGAAGGAAGAGGAAGAAAAAATAACACTTCACAACTATCGCGCAGAAATTATTCTGTTACAATGCTGAGTCGTCAGACAAGGATTTGTGATGAAGCTGGCTCGCTATATGGCAAAGAAAGAGAGGGGGAGGGGGAGAGGAAGGGGCAGAGGGGAGGGGCAGAGGGGAGAGGCAGGGGGAGGGGCAGGGGNCGTCGGCCAGTCATTCAGTCAGTCCGTCGGCCAGTCATTCAGTCAGTCCGTCGGCCAGTCATTCAGTCAGTCCGTCGGCCAGTCATTCAGTCAGTCCGTCGGCCAGTCATTCAGTCAGTCCGTCGGCCAGTCATTCAGTCAGTCCGTCGGCCAGTCATTCAGTCAGTCCGTCGGCCAGTCATTCAGTCAGTCCGTCGGCCAGTCATTCAGTCAGTCCGTCGGCCAGTCATTCAGTCAGTCCGTCGGCCAGTCATTCAGTCAGTCCGTCGGCCAGTCATTCAGTCAGTCCGTCGGCCAGTCATTCAGTCAGTCCGTCGGCCAGTCATTCAGTCAGTCCGTCGGCCAGTCATTCAGTCAGTCCGTCGGCCAGTCATTCAGTCAGTCCGTCGGCCAGTCATTCAGTCAGTCCGTCGGCTAGTCATTCAGTCAGTCCGTCGGCCAGTCATTAAGTCAGTCAGTCCGTCAGTCATTCAGTTCGTCAGTCAGACAAATCAATCGATCAGTCTGCCAGTCATTTAGTAAGTCAGTCCGTCAGTCAGTCAGTCAGTCAAACTAATTAGCCAGTCAGTCAAATCAATCACTCAGTCAAATCAATCAGTCAGTCAGTCAGCCAGTCAGTCAGGAATTCACGCATTCAGTCAGTCAGTCGCTCAGTCAGTGAGTCAATCCGTGAGTAACAAAGGTAAAAAAAATATCGTCAACTATCGTCAACCTTAATCTCAATCGCCGATCTAATGCCGGGTTTTATCGGTGTATTCGAAATCAAAGTATAACCTAAACAATATGCAACTACAGTTACTTACCTGTTTGGCTTTCTGTGCATTTTCTGAATTCAGCCAGCAATAACTGATAAACACGTCAGCGGAATCTCGGATTCCAGCGGCCGGGGCATCTTCGGTACTCTGCAAATCTGAATAAAAAGTCACTTTGTGAGGTCAATTGACTGACAGATTTAGGTTGATATACAGAAACAAGCATGTGCTTTGCGTTTTAACTGTTAACCCTGGTGAGCAGTATTTTGATGAGACACGCTTTCCCACGCTTCGCATAGTGATTCTAACGTATGAGTCTGTGGATAAAACTCGAGTGCGTGACCAACCAAATGAAGGCTATCGAGCTGTACTTTCATGTGATTCTGCCTATTATGCTGTACAAGGTGGCTCCAACTGACACCCAAGCATGTCACCATTCAAATGAAAGGATACTGTGTGGTAGAACCGTTTTGTTACGCTCTACGAGGTGGTTGTAACTTTCAAGTCAGTGGGCAATATCCTAGTATGTGACCACAAAAATACAAAACATACCTTGTACGCTTCCAAGTTCTTGCGGAAATTTAACTTCAGGCACACTCTTCTTAACAGCTCGCAGAAGCTCTGTCATCTTAGAATCCTGTACATCTCTGTTGTTGAAGTGAATGTAAACTTCACCAGCAATAAGCAAACCCACAACTGTCATCATCCATTCGAAAGATCCACTGCCCACTACAACAGGGATAACTGGTTTCCTAGCGGTCTTTTTGGCATACTGGAACTCCTGACGACAAATTTCGTCCCTGGGAAGAAGAAAAATGGCAACCAAAAATAATTAATTGTTATAAGCAAGCCGAAATTGCATCGGTTTTTCTTGGTCTGTAAAGGTGCGTCACTTTCTGTACCAATCACATGTGAAATTGAACGTAGATGCTGTAGATGTTGCAAGAAACCGCCCCATCAGAATTATCGCCTGCGATCGCAACACTACCTTCAATTAGCTGTGGTCTGAGTTTTGATATCTCCAAAGACAGCTTTAAAGGGGGCCAGGTGCCTTGGATAATATGAATAGAGGTAATAGCGCTACAAGCTACGACAAATTTTACTTCGTTCGCAATGACTCGAAAAAGGTTTGGTCGACTAAATTTGCTGCATAAGACGCCAATTTGGCGATATGTGTTTGGTGCTCCCTCCATGCGGCAAGTTGCAGCATCTTAAACTTAGTCCTAATGGTCTGAAATCAAAGTGAGATAAACATTTTCCGACATCAAAAAACTTTAATAAATAATGTTGCGGCATTTTCTTCTAAAAAAATTGCCACTTTTTCCTGGATTACCTGCGTATTGACGCCTTACACCTTAACATCAATAACCAAATTCACCTTTACTCTTCTCTACACATTGCTTTGTTGCTAACAAGGAGAATTCGCTCAACCCTTTAAGTCCTAAGAGAGGATAGCACCTAATTTTACCATAGAGCTCCACCCCTTGGAACAAAGAAAATAATCACTAACTTTAAAGTAGCCCCTGATTGTTAAACAAATTCTTCTTGTCAGCACCTTAGGAAATGAGTATGGGGAATACGCACTACTAGACGCTGGCCACACTTTGGGTTTCAAGGGTTAAGGGCTCCGATGACAAGTGACCAAAAGACATACGATGTGGTCAGCGATTTGGTATGTTATATAAAGTGCCTTCTCCTTTTTTTTTCCCGGCGATCAAAAATTTATGTCTGGCGAAAAGTTGAGCTTGGCGCCCTAAGTAATAAATTTACTTAATGAATGCTCACTTGACGTATTCATCACTGAGACACGCCACAAACACCTTTGATGTGTTAATCTGTTGTACGGTCTCTATCAGTGAGTGTTGAGCCTGTCTGTCGCCATTCACCGTGGCTCCGTAGCCTTCCAGTTGATATCGAATGTCACGTGGGTCGCAGATACTCGACAAAACTGCTTCGTCGTAGCTAGGTGGAGGATCAGATGATCCCAGCTCATGATTTCTAATGGCTGAAGGGCTGTTAGCCTGTTAAAGGGAACATGAAAAATTAATGTCTTTTTTGAAACAATTTTCTAATGATGTGAGTATAGTCTGAATAACAAGCAATCATCAAAGTGGGTGCAAGCGATGCATGTCATGCTGTTAGAACGAATTAAAATACACGCATTTGCGTACATGCGCTAATCTCCTTCATGCGCGAATCTCCTTCATGCGCGACTAACTACACGCACTGTGAATTTCGCACGCATTAAACTCACTCGACGTTCGTGGGGGTGCTGTTGTACAAGCGAGGGGTACTGTAGATATAGGGGATGTCTGTTAGTCTGTTGGTCGGTCGAACAGTCTCCTGTTATCAGATATTTTTTCGGGGATGTGGGGGGTCTGGGTTTGGCGATAGTTTAGCAGTGCAAGAGTCGGCGGTCGGAATAACGAGCAATAGCTAACACGTTCTTTTCCCCTCGTTACTCCGCTTGCCGACTTTTGCGCTGCAACGCTGTTACGCACCTCTGGA